AACACCGAGGGTTGCGATCCCGTTGCCAGTCCCAGTCCGGTACGGGGGCAACACCGAGGGTTGCGATCCCGTTGCCAGTCCCAGTCCGGTACGGGCATGACACTGAGGGTTGTGATCCATTGCCGGTCACGAAAAAAGACAAAAAAAGGAAAAAAAAAAATTTATTTTTTCTGTCATTTAGTCAGGTTTAATTTTTATGGTCACATCTATAGATCTTTTTATTTTTTAATGTTTTATTGAAATGTATTGATTATACTTATTTGTGGGGTACAGAATTGAGTATCAATATATGTATACAGTGTGTGATGATCAAATCAGGGTAATTAGCATATTCATCATTACAAAACTTAACCTTTTTTATTTCTTTCTTCATTTTAATGCTGAAAAGACACCACCATCTGATTATATAAATTTTCACATATTTTTCTTTTATAAAAAATTTTATTCAAAATATTTTAACGTTTACTTGTACATATTTGTGGGGTGCAGTGTGTTGTTTCAATACATGCATATACTGCACAATGATTCCCTTAGGGTAGATAGCATAATTTTGTATCCATTAGTCCACCACTTTTTCTTTCCCCCTTTCCTGTTTCTAGTAACCGTTATTCTACTCTCTACTTATATGAGAACCACTTATTTATTTATTTATTTATTAAGATTCCACATACGAGTGGTATCATGTGGTATTTGTCTTTCTATGCTGGATTTACTTCACTTCACTTGATGGTCTCCAGTTTCATCCATGTATCTGCAAATGCCAGGATATCACTTTTTTCCCCAAGAGTTTTTATGAGTTTATTTTTAATATTTAATTTTATTTTACCTAGAATTGATTTTATTTTTGGTATAGAGTAGGGGTCTTTTTTTCCAGATAAATCACCCATTGTTCCAAGCAATAAATTTTNAAGAAGATTTTTAGGAAATAAGGAAAAGATCTTGAATAATCAGAAAATGTTTTAAACTTTATTTTTTTCTATGTAAAAGGCAGTTATTTTCACAGTCATATTATGGATATTGTTGAAATATAAAATATAAGAAATAAACCTATTCCGTAAAACTAGAAACAAAATAGAGATAAGACTGCTTATTCACATTATTATTTTACAGGCAAAAAGTTTCAGAACTCCATTAATAAGGAATATCACACCTTTATCTGGGACTCCAGGTTTGTTACATGACAGCTAAAATATCTTTTGGTTTTGTGGTAATTAATTTAATTACTTTTTAGTATGTAAAATTATTACAGTACTTGAAAAGTTTTAAAATAGAATTTTTCTGATTATTAAAATAACAACCAATACTTTTAAAAAATGATTTTTGATGGTTTCACCTTAATCTACTGTAATATTTCTTACTTTCTCCCTTTTGGACATTAGTTGGCTTCTAGTGTTCACTATTATAACTATAATTATATCAGTTTATAATTCCAACAGCAATATGTGAGAATGTCCTTTTCTGTAACCTTGACAATTCTGGTACAAACTTTTTCCAAGTATTTATGTAAAAAATATAGTAGGCTTTAATTTTTTTTTTT